TTATTTTTTGTCCTTTATATTTAACAATCTATGCTATTGCATAACCTTCGCTTATATTAGGGCTATGTCTTGTTTGGGGTTATGATTTAATCATTTTTCACAAGTGAAATAGTTTTCACTTCATGTTTTATGTTTTTGTTTTGAAGTATTGTCTGTTTGACATACTGCCACATGCGTGGCTATTGCTTATTTTCTAGTTGAAGCATCAGTGTGTAGAAGATGCTTTCAGAATTTATCTATTCTTACATTTAAGCTTCCTTTAAGGATGAAGTAAGAATTAACTACATGTTCTAGGAGGACTTGTTCGTTTTAGAAATCCTTTAATGCTTTGCATAGCAAAAGGATCTTGGTCTATCGTGAGAAGGTTTAGTGATAACAGACTTTAGATGTGATTGCTACCGTTATTTATTTAAACTGGTGTTGAAGTCATCCTTTTAAGGCTAATCCATAGGGCCAGGATAAATAGACCTCTATGATTTAAAGTTGAAAGCAAGAGAAGACATAGGTCCTTACTTACAATCACTCAACTCTCCTGAAGCATGCTATTCTTTACCTAAGTTTGGATGCTTGTTATCTTTCAAAAACACAAGGGTTAATGTTAAAGGAAAGGAAAGTGTAGTCGAGATTTCCTAAAACCTGCAGAATACCTGTCAAAGGTGCAGCACAATTACGATTTTTTTCTTTTTCGTCAAATGCTTAAAAATCGTTCAAACAACCATACTACTATTGATGTCTATTGAAAATTAGATCACCTTGAGGCAGAAAGAGCATCACGAGAATAAACTTGAAAAGTCTTTTTTCTCCATTTATGACCAATTGTGATGTTAGATATTCGACATTCTTGATTAATATTTATTACGATGTTAAAGAACATTGGATCTCTGGTGGCAGAAACAGCTATATATATATATATATATTTATATTTTAGCTCTAATATATTATGCATCAAATTTAGGTCGTCTGAATGTGTAATCATTTGTTGGCATTCTTGACATCAGCTATAAAATTGAGCTGTTATTTTTGTCATCTTGAGCCAAATTTAATGTACTAGGTAAAATAAATTTTCATCAAGTTTATACCTCATATCTAATAATATGTATTTATTTATACCTCATAGCTAATACCCTTATATGTATTTATTTATACCTCATATCAATACCCTTGTATGTATTTTTACCAGTTTATGCAATCTTGATAAGTGAATTTGAACTTTATTGAAGCTTTAGTCTTATGATGTTTACCTCATATCTCAAGCACGGTTGTGTACGGCTGCATCTCATTACTGTCGTTGGGTTACTCATTCTTAATGCAGCCTTCAAGGATAAAAGCTTTTGTTGAAAAGGTTATCCAGTGCCCGTTGCAGGATATAGCAATTCCTCTCTCTGGTTTTCGCTGGGAATATGGAAAGGTTGCTGAATTTACTTGTTAATTGCTCATTCTTCTGTTTTAACATATTTCTTTTTCTTACTTTTTTCTTTATTTTTATTTTTTTCCAGGGAAACTTCAACCATTGGAGGCCTCTATTTATACATTTTGACACATATTTCAAGACTTACTTGTCTTGCAGAAATGACCTCCTTTTGTCAGATGATATTTTAGGAGACGTCAGCCCATTCCCTAAACAGGCAGTTTTACAAATTCTGAGAGTTATGCAGATTATTCTAGAAAATTGCCGCAACAAGACTTCTTTCGCCGCGATAGAGGTGAGTTGATGACTGAAATTTACGTTGTTATATTTTTCATTGGTGGATGTAAATTTTACTGCTGGGTGGGTTAGTATATACAGATTACATTAAGGGGGGGAGACATTAATAGATGACTGTTTCATACTCCTAATAGTATTATTTTCTAACATTTGTGTTATTGTTTTACCTTTTGGCCCTACAATTTCAGTATATTTATGATCTTTTGAACTCTCTGTTTTCTTTTTCTTCAGCATTTCAAGCTATTGCTTGCTTCACCTGATCCAGATATTCTCATAGCAGCTTTAGAGGCTCTTTGTGCATTTGTGAAAATAATTCCATCGAAATTGCACGTGAATGGAAAGATGGTTGGATGTGGGTCAGTGAACAGTTGTCTTTTATCACTTGCACAAGGCTGGGGTAGCAAAGAAGAAGGCCTGGGTTTGTATTCCTGTGTTTCTCTACATGAAAGGTCTGAGGGTGATGTGTTATGCTTGTTTCCATCTGAGGATCAAAATGATTGTGATAAATTGCACCATCGCCTAGGATCCACACTGTACTTTGAGTTGCGTGGCACTGTGTCTTCTGGGACAAGTATAATTCAGCTTCCCGATCTTCACTTGCGAGAAGAGGATGACCTGTCACTCATGAAGTTATGTATTCAGAAGTATAATGTGCCTTTGCAGCTCAGATTTCCATTGTTTTCAAGAATCAGATATGCTCGTGCATTCCGTTCCTCCAAAACATGCAGACTTTACAGCAAGATTTCTCTTCTTGCGTTTATTGTGCTTGTACAGTCGAGTGATGCTCATGATGAACTTGTTTCATTTTTCGCTAATGAGCCAGAGTACACGAATGAATTGATTAGAATTGTGAAGTCTGAAGAAATCATATCTGGCACCACGAGGACCCTTGCAATGACAGCACTTGGAGCACAGTTAGCTGCATATGCTGCGTCTCATGAAAGGGCACGAATATTGCGTGGATCAAGCATTAACATTGTTAGTGGAAACCGTATGGTTCTCCTTAATGTCCTACAACGGGCAATTATATCACTAAACAACCCTCTTGATTTGTCATCTGTTACCTATGTTGAAGCCCTTCTCCAATTTTATTTGCTTCATGTGATATCTTCTTCAAGTGCTGGAACTGTTGTTAGGGGATCTGGGATGGTCCCCACCTTTTTGCCACTTTTAGAAGATTCAAATCCTACTCACTTTCGTCTTGTTTGTATCGCTGTGAAAACTCTACAGAAGCTCATGGACTACAGCAACACAGCTGTCACCCTTTTCAGAGACCTGGGTGGAATTGAGCTTTTGATTCGTAGATTGCAAGTTGAAGTTCGTAGAGTGATTGATTTCACTGGGTTGAAGGATGATACTGTGACCACAGATGCATATTTTGAACATGATCAGTTGTGCACTTATAAGAGATTGGTCAGAGCTTTGTTGAAGGCTCTTGGTTCTGCCACTTATGCAACTTCAAATGCTGTGCGATCTCAGAATTCTTATGATGTCACCTTGGGCTCCACATTGTTGATAATTTTCAGAAACAAGGAAAAATTTGGAGGTGAGATCTTCTCTGCAGCTGTCACTCTTATGAGTGAAATGATTCACAAAGATCCAACATGTTTTAATGCACTGTATGACTTGGGTCTTCCTACGGCATTCCTCTCATCAATTGTTGCTGGAATACTTCCTTCTTCCAAAGCCATTACATGTATTCCAAATGGTCTTGGTGCTGTTTGCCTCAACTCTAAGGGCTTGGAGTCTGTCAGAGAAACTTCTGCTTTACGTTTCCTTGTTGAGATCTTCACTGATAGAAAGTATGTGATGGCTGTAAATGAATCCATTGCTCCTTTGACAAATGCGTTAGAAGAGCTGCTGCGGCATGTATCTGCTTTGAGAGGTACTGGTGTTGATCTTATAATTGAGATAATTAATAGAACTGCTCAGCTTGCTGATATCAAGTTCCAGGGGTTGATTAGAAAAACAGATGAAATGGAAATGGATTCCGTGGTATCTGAGGGTACGGAAAACATAGGTGGGTGCTCAGAAATTGGTGAAGCAGGTTGTTCTGTTGATGGTATCAGTGATCAGCAGTGTATGCAACTTTGCATCTTTCATGTGATTGTACTACTTCACAGGACAATGGAAAATTCTGAAACCTGTCGCTTATTTGTGGAGAAATCTGGTATTGAAGCTTTGCTGAAACTTCTTTTACGCCCAAGCATTACTCAATCGTCAGAAGGAATGTCGATAGCCTTAAATAGCACTGTGGTATTCAAGTGTTTTACGCAGCACCATTCCACTCCTTTGGCTCGTGCTATTTGCTCTTCGCTGCGTGATCTTTTGAAAGAAACTCTGTCTAGGTTCAGTGTTGTCTCTGGTTCCTTTCTGCTGGATCCTAAGTCCAGTCCAGATCCCGTATTATTTTCTTCTCTATCTCTAATCGAGTTTGCATTATTTCTTGCTGCCTCGAAAGATACTCGTTGGGTTAATGCGTTGCTCACTGAATTTGGTAATGGCGAAAACGGTGTCCTAGTAGATATCAGTCATATTCATCGTGAAGTCTTATGGCAAATTGCATTGCTTGAAGATGCCAAGGCTGGAACAGAAGATGAATCAACTGTTAATGCCTCACAACAGTCTGAGTTGGGCATGAATGACACTGAAGACCCCAGGTCGAACTCATTCAGGCAGTTTCTCGATCCATTGCTTAGAAGGAGAACTTCAGGATGGAGCTTTGAGTCTCAATTTTTTGACCTTATAAATTGGTATCGTGATCTTAGTCGGCCTTCAAGTCTTCATCTTCAGCAGGTTGTTGATCCACCATTAAACTTGCAGGTTCAATCAGTTCAGGAACAGCATGGGTCTGGTTCCTCTGATTTTTCTGAATCCAGTTCTAGAAAGAATGATGACAATCAAAGATCATACTATCAATCGTGCTGTGACATGGTATCGTCTTTATCAATTCACATTACCCGTATGTTTCAAGAGTTGGGGAAGGTGATGCTGTTACCTTCTCGTCGAAGGGAGGATACACTAAATGTTTCGCCTTCTGCAAAATCAGTGGCTTCTACCTTTGCTTCTATAGTTGCCAATCACATGAGTTCTACAGGTCATGTCAGTCCATCTGGATCTGAAGCTTCTGTGTCAACCAAGTGTCGCTATTTTGGCAAGGTTATTGATTTCATCGACAGTATTCTTATGGATAAGCCAGACTCAGTTAACCTCGTCATCTTGAATTGTTTGTATGGAAGAGGAGTTATTCATACAGTCTTGACTACATTCGAGGCCACCAGTCAATTGCCTTTTGCCATCACTAGGGCTCCTGCTTCTCCAATGGAGATTGATGAAGGAAGGCAAAATCAAGTTGAAGAAGCTGATTACTCGTGGATATATGGACCTTTAGCTAGTTATGGTAAACTTATGGACCACTTTGTTACTTCGTCTTTTATTCTATCGCCATCCAACAAGCATCTGCTTACCCAGCCTCTAGTGCAAGGGGATATTTTATTTCCTCGAGATGCTGAAACGTTTGTCAAAATTCTCCAGTCCATGGTATTGAAGGCTGTGCTTCCTGTTTGGACCCACCCTCGTTTCCCTGAATGCAGTTACGAATTCATTGCAGCGGTTGTTGACATTTTTAGACATAATTTCTCTGGAGTGGAAATGAAAAATGTTGGTGTTAATGTGGGTCGTCTGGCTGGTCCTCCGCTGAATGAGTCAACCATTTCAACAATTGTAGAGATGGGGTTTTCAAGGTCTCGGGCAGAAGAAGCCTTAAGACATGTGGGTTCTAATAGTGTGGAGCTTGCTATGGAATGGTTATTCTCACATTCTGAGGAAACGCCAGAGGATGATGAGCTTGCTCGAGCGTTGGCAATGTCCCTTGGGAACCCTGGTACGGAGACGAAAGAAGCTGTGACGGATGAAAAACCTGAGCCTGTTGAAGAGGAATTTGTGCAACTTCCTCCGGTGGATGACTTGCTGTCGACATGTCGGAGACTTGTGCAAATGAAAGAGACATTAGTTTTCCCTGTTAGGGACTTGCTTGTGATGATTTCCTCACATAATGAAGGGCATGAAAGACCACACATAGTTTCATTTATCATCGAACAAGTAAAAATTTGCAGTAGCACGTATGGAAGTGAAAACCAAAACACGCTTTCTGCCTTTTTCCATGTACTTGCTCTAATACTTCATGAAGATCCAGCTTCTCGAGAATTAGCCTCCAAAAATGGTTTCGTTAAAGTTGCATCAGATCTTCTTCAATTGTGGAGTTGTTCCAGTGAACAAGAATCATCTCAAGTTCCAAAGTGGGTAACTTCAGCATTTGTTGCCATTGATCGCCTTGCTCAAATGGACACTAAGTCCAATGCTGATGTGCTAGAAGTTATGATGAAGAATGCTGGTGGCAATCATACTTCAATTGTTATTGATGATGATAAGCATAACAAATCACCAATGTCTTTGGGGCAGTTGAAAATTTTGGATTTGCAGGAGCAGAACAGACTAATTGAAGTAGCTTGCAATTGCATCAGGAAACAATTGCCTTCTGAAACAATGCATGCTGTTTTGCAGCTCTGTTCTACCCTCACGAGGACTCACTCAGTTGCTGTTAGCTTTCTTGAGGCTGGAGGCCTGCATTTGATTCTTTCCTTGCCTGCTAGGAGCTTGTTTGTTGGTTTTGACTGTGTTGTAGCTGTTATAATACGCCACATCCTTGAAGATTCTCAAACTTTACAGCAGGCCATGGAGTCTGAGATAAGGCATACTTTCCTGACTTTTGCTAACCGGCAGTCTACTGGAAGGCTTACTCCACGAAATTTTCTGTCAAATTTAAGTGCCCTTATTCAACGGGATCCCATAATTTTTATGCAAGCTGCCAAGTCTGTTTGTTATGTTGAGATGGTTGGTGATCGACCGTATGTTGTTTTAATAAAAGATCGTGAGAAGGATAAATGTAAGGAGAAAGAGAAGGAGAAGGAGAAAAACCAAGGTAATGATGGGAAGACGAGCATTCCTAGCAGTGCTCAAGGGAAGCTTCTTGATGTAAATTCTAAAACCTCCAAGGTGCATAGAAAACCTCCACATAGTTTTGTAAATGTGATTGATCTTCTACTGGAGTTAGTATTGACCTTCTTGCCACCTGCTTCTGAAGATAAATCTCTTGTCAATGATGGCTCATCATCTGTTGATATGGAAATTGATGTTTCTGCCATCAAAGGTAAGGGAAAAGCTGTTGCCTCCCTGTCTAAATCAAATGAAGCAAACGATGAAGAATTCCCTGTGTCCATGGTGAAGGTTGTATTTATACTGAAGCTCTTGACCGAGATTCTTTTCATGTATAGTTCCTCCATTCATATTCTCGTGCGGAAGGATTCCGAAGTTGGTGGCTACAGGGGAGTTACCCAACATGCTGACACTCCTTGCTCAGCTGGTGGGATCTTTCATCATGTTCTTTACAAGTTTCTTCCATATACTAAAGATCCTAAAAAGGATAGGAAAACGGAAGTGGATTGGAGCTATAAACTGGCCAGTAAAGCCAACCATTTTTTGGTGTCTTCTTGTGTTCGCTCAACTGAGGCAAGGAAAAGAATATTCTCAGAGATCACTAATGTTTTCAACGACTTTGTTGACTCTTCTAATGGTTTTAGGGCTCCAGGAGCTGACGTTCAGTCTCTCACTGATTTACTCCATGATGTTCTGTCTGCTCGGTCACCGACTGGTTCATACATAACAGCAGAAGCTTCTGTCACTTTCATAGAAGCTGGTCTTGTTCAGCCACTCACCCGAATACTTGGCGTTTTGGACCTGGACCATACTGACTCAACGAAGGTTGCTGCTGGAATTGTGAAAGTTTTGGAGTTAGTGACCAAGGAACATGTTCATGCTTTTGAGTCCATTAATGGAAAAGAAGAGCAATTGATAACACCTACTGATCCTAGTGAGCCTGGGGTAGGAAATGGCGGTGGTCTGCATGCTTCTGATGCTGCAGTTAATGCTAATGAAAATTCAGTACAAATAGATGGGAGTGAGGCGTCTCACACAGTGCAGAACTATGGTGGACCTGAGACAGTCAATGATGATATGGAACACGACCAGGATACGGGCTTTTTAGCTGCTGTAGATGATTACATGCAGGAGAACACTGAGGGGATACAAAATCTTCAAAGTGGCCTTGACACTGTTGGGATTAGATTTGAAATTCGACCTAATTTAAGAGGGGATCTTGATGAAGATGAAGATGATGATGATGAGATATCTGGTGATGAAGAGGATGGAGTTAATGATGATGAAGATGAGGATGCTGATGATGAGCAGAATAATATTGAACACGATGAAGCCCATCTTCTCCCACATACCGACACTGACCAAGATGACCATGACATTGATGAAGATGAATTTGATGAGGATGTGATGGAAGAGGATGAAGATGAAGAGGACGATGAGGATGGGGTTATTTTGCAACTAGGTGATGGAATGAATGGTGTAAATGTATTTGATCATATAGAGGTTTTTGGCAGAGATAGCATTTCCAGTGGAACGTTTCAAGTCATGCCTGTTGAAATATTTGGCTCCAGACGGCAGGGGCGAACCACATCCATATACAATTTCTTAGGGAGAAGTGGTGATAGAGCTGGCCCTTCCCAACATCCACTTCTAGTGGAACCACATCCTTCACTGAATACATTTCTTCCTAGACCATCAGGTCCTTGTGTTTCTTTTTGTGTTGTGTTTTTTGTTATTTCTCTTTCTGTTTTCTTTTTATTTGGATTACTCCGCGACTTTGGCATGGTGACCTTAGAAAGTCTATATAGCTGCACTAATCTAACTTCCAGCATTTTTTTCTTTCTTTATCATAGAGAATAACCATGATGCGCGCTCCAACTCAGAAGCACTGTCACAGTTAAACTCCGTTTTCAGATCACTTCGACATGGCCGGCAAGGACATAGATTTGATTTGTTGGCCAATGAAGACCAGCTAAGCAATGGATCAAACTCATCTGGTGTCCCTCAAGGGCTTGAGGAAGTACTTGTTTCCAGCTTGAGGCGTCCCTCTACGGAGAAACCCTCCAACAATACTGCAGCTGTTGAATCTCAAAACAGAGTTGAACTTGGTCTGTCTGCTGAATCTGCTGAGACAACGGCTGGAAATCAAGAAAGTGTCGGAGGCATAACTGAACATCCTCCTTCAGCAGTGTTGGAGAGTGCCGGAGTTGGTAATGTTTCAACTGCACATGAAACTCAGGGTATGGAATCTTCAAATCAAACACCTCAGTCTGTTGATATTCAGTACGACCATGCTGATGTCATGCGTGATGTTGAAGCAGTGAGTCAGGAGAGTAGTGGAAGTGGGGCCACTTTAGGTGAAAGCTTACGAAGTCTGGATGTTGAAATTGGAAGTGCTGATGGTCATGATGATGGTGGAGATAGACAAGCAGGTAGTGATGCCCGAATAAGGAGAATTAATCCTGCTTTTGGTAATAACACATCTCTGAGCGGGAGAGATGCACCACTCCATAGCGTCACAGAAGTTTCAGAAGACCCAATCCCAGAGGCAGAACAAACCGCACCCCCTAATGAAGAGCAAAATAATCATGATGCTGAACCTATCGATCCTGCTTTTCTTGACGCACTTCCTGAGGAGTTGCGTGCTGAGGTTCTCTCTGCCCAACCTAGTGAAACTTCAAATCCGCAAAATCCCGAACCCCAAAATAATGGGGATATAGACCCTGAATTTCTTGCAGCACTTCCCCCTGATATCCGTGAAGAGGTTTTGGCACAACAAAGGGCTCAAAGGCTGCAGCAGTCCCATGAACTGGAAGGTCAACCTGTTGAAATGGACACTGTCTCAATCATTGCGACGTTTCCTTCAGACATAAGAGAAGAGGTATCTTCTTAGTGGGTTTTCACTTCTTTCTTTGGTTCAAATGTAATTTTAATGCCAGTAATTGATTTTCACTGACATTTCAGGTTCTTTTAACTTCCTCTGATGCTATTCTTGCAAATTTAACCCCGGCCCTTGTTGCTGAAGCAAACATGTTGCGCGAAAGGTTTGCACGTAGGTACAATCAAACTCTATTTGGTATATATCCGCGAAACCGCAGGGGTGAGTCTTCTAGGCGAGGTGTGGATAGAGTTGGTGGTGGTCTTTCTCGTCGATCTACTGCTGTTACGCCAGTCGAGGCTGATGGATTGCCTTTGGTCGACACAGAAGGTCTGGAATCACTGATTCGGTTGCTTCGTGTTGTTCAGGTAATCTATGATCCATTTGATGCTTTACCACCGGTTACTTCTTGATATGTAAATCTAATTTGTCTAATCTATTTGCAGCCACTTTATAGAAGTCAACAGAGACTACTTCTTAACCTCTGTGCTCACGCTGAAACCCGAGTTGATTTGTTAAAAATTTTGATGGACTTATTACTGTCGAATAAGCGAAGATTTCCCAGTGATCTGAATGCTACAGAACCTCCTTACAGGCTGTACGCTTGCAAGCATGTGATGTATTCTCGTCCTCAGCATGTTGATGGTAAGTACATTTTCAACAATTATCATGTCATGCAAGTGTCTAGTTAATTTGCATTCCGGCTGGATTAACTGAAGAAAACCATTTTGCTGCCGCAGCAGGTGGTTTATTAGTATCATTCTTTTTAGACTCTGCTTTGATTTTTTCCTCCCCGAATAGAGTTGAATTGCTGGTGTTTCCTTTTCGGTTTGACTATGCTGAATTACTACACCTTTTCGAATTCCATCTGCAGCAATAGATGGATAATTTAGGGATAATGTGAGCATGCTTGCATACTTCAGAGATCGATGCTCTCCCTCCTTTCTTTTCACTTTTCTAAAGTAGTTACCTTTGCCTGTTTTTTTTGGTGTGTTCTTTTATAGGTGTTCCCCCTTTGGTGTCTCGTCGAGCTCTAGAGACTCTCACCTATTTGTCCGGTAACCATCCTTTGGTTGCAAAACTGTTACTTGAGCTCAGATTGCCACAAGTGAATTTTAAGGAGTCCCCGAGCTCAGATGAAAAAGGGAAAAAAGCTATGTTGCTTTCCGATGAAGACATGTCAGAAAAATACACAGAAAGGCAGTCATCTCTGTCATTGCTTCTAAGCCTCTTCAACCGACCACTTTATTTAAGAAGCATAACTCATCTAGAGCAGGTCTGTATTTTCAAACCATTTTAAATTCTGCATTTTGATGTAGATTATAATGGATAATTATTGAAATCTGTCTCATGGTCTCAGCTGCTAAATTTGTTGGATGTCATCCTTGATAATGCCGAGAAGAAATCAAATTCATCTCATGACCCTGGGTCATCTGCATCTGAACAGCCATCTAATCCTCAAGATTCCACATCAGTTGTTTCTGCAACATCAGGGGAAGGTAACTCTTCCTTGAAAGCATTGTCTTCTGATGAAGATAAAGAGCAGAATGCTAAAGACCTCAACAACTTGCCGAAGTTGGAGCTTCAACGTCTTTGCTCACTTCTTGCATCCGAAGGGTATGCTGAAATGTCTATTCTTTTATGCTAGCTTAATATTAGATGGTGTGTCGAATTCGTATTTCTACCATGTGCTTGCTAGTTGTAGAAATCCTAATACGGGTTATTAGTACTTGAATCAAGTAATAGTTCAGTGTTGAGATTTATGTCTTCAACTTTAAGGAACTCGTTGTTTTTGGGGTCAAGGTCATAGTTGCAACAATGTTACATGAACAGTGCCATATGTGGGCCGTTGAAGAAGTAATTATTGATCTTTTACTATTTTGCATGCTGAAATCCTGTTTTTTTGTAGTACAAACTAATTCATAACTAGCTTATTGAAGCTCTTGCAAATAATTTTCTAGTTGTTATAGTAGTGAGACAGAATTTTGATGATAACATTGAAACATTTGTTTTCCATTCTCCTTAATAGTTCTCTTCTTTATGGTGCAAACTGTGGTGTACTCATTCCTACCTTTGAGATACTGTCGGTAGTTACATTAACGAGCTTCTCCAATTTATAACATATTTCTCCTTTTCAGTCTCTCAGATAATGCCTACACCCTTGTTGCGGAGGTATTAAGAAAGCTGGTGACGATTGCTCCTATTCATTGTAATCACTTTGTTACTGAGCTGGCTGGTTCAGTTCGAAGCCTCACCAAGTCTGCTATAGAAGAGTTACAAGTCTTTGGCGACATAGAGAAAGCTCTCCTTTTTACTACTACTCATGGGGCTCCAGTTCTCAGGGTCCTGCAAGCATTGAGCTCTTTAGTTGTTGTACTTCTCAGTAAGGACAAGAAACATCAGAACCTCCCTGATACGGAGTACACTGCTGCTGTTACGGTGGTTTGGGATATTAATGCAGCTCTTGAGCCATTGTGGCAGGAACTGAGCAACTGCATAAGCAAAATAGAGACTTACTCAGATATGGTATCCGATCGTTCAGCTTCATCTGTCAAACCATCTATCAGTTCAGTGCCCTCACTTCCTGCAGGAACTCAGAATGTTTTGCCATACATAGAGTCATTCTTTGTGACTTGTGAGAAGTTGAACCCTGGTCAGTCGAGTTCAGGCACTGATTTTGGTGCTACTTCTGTTTCTGATGTTGTCGAGGGTATTGCATCTTCTAGTCAAGTCAAACCTTCAGGATCATCTTTGAAAGTGGATGAGAAACATGTTGCTTTCTTAAGGTTCTCAGAGAAGCACAGAAAGCTTCTCAATGCTTTTGTGAGGCAAAATCCAGGATTGCTTGAGAAGTCCTTTTCACTTATGCTCAAGGTTCCTCGCTTTATTGATTTTGATAATAAACGTTCCCACTTTAGATCCAAGATAAAGAATCTGCATGATACTCAACACAGTCCTTTGAGAATTTCTGTGAGAAGAGCTTACATCCTTGAAGATTCGTATAATCAGCTGCGTTTGAGGCCTGCACAAGATTTGAAGGGTAGATTGACTGTTCATTTTCAAGGGGAGGAAGGAATTGACGCTGGTGGTCTTACTAGGGAGTGGTATCAGTTGCTCTCTAGGGTGATCTTCGACAAGGGGGCACTACTATTCACAACCGTCGGGAATGAATCAACATTTCAGCCAAACCCCAATTCTGTTTACCAAACCGAGCATCTCTCGTACTTCAAATTTGTTGGGCGAGTTGTGAGTATTTCACATTTTTATGCTATTGACGATGGATGCCTCTGTCCCATACATTCCTTACATTTTGAGTGTTTTACAGGTTGGGAAGGCACTATTTGATGGGCAGCTCCTTGACGTACACTTCACTCGCTCCTTTTACAAACATATTCTTGGGGTTAAAGTTACATATCATGATATTGAAGCTATTGATCCAGATTATTTCAAGAATTTGAAATGGTTGCTTGAGGTAAGTCGTGTCGAAAAGTCGATGTCATTTCCTTCTTCTAAGCTGCTTAATTCTATTGCTTGTTTTGATGTCCAGAATTTTGATGATGGGAGTTGATTGTGGTTCTTAATTGTCCATTGCAGAATGATATAAGTGATGTCCTGGACTTGACCTTCAGCATTGACGCCGACGAAGAAAAGCTGATTCTTTATGAACGTACTCAAGTATGCATTTCTAATTGCTCCTAAGCAAGTACATGTGGAAATTTCTTTATTGATTTATGAGTGAATATTCCATGTAGGTAACTGACTATGAACTAATCCCTGGAGGTCGAAATATTAGAGTAACTGAGGCTAACAAGCACCAGTACGTTGATTTAGTTGCTGAACATCGGTTGACAACTGCCATTCGTCCTCAGATAAATGCATTTATGGAGGGTTTTAATGAACTAATCTCTCGTGATTTGATATCTATATTCAATGACAAGGAATTGGAACTCCTGATAAGTGGGCTGCCTGACATCGACTGTGAGTTCTGATACTTTATCCTTTGTTAATGTGTGTTTGAACTGTAACTTTCCAAAAAGGCATATTTTATTGCTTAAGCCAATGACTTAAGAGCTTTATAGCCGCAACTAAATTAATTAATGTTTTGCAGTGGATGATCTGAGGGCAAATACAGAGTACTCAGGGTACAGCACCGCTTCTCCAGCTATTCAATGGTTCTGGGAGATTGTTCAAGGATTCAGCAAAGAGGATAAAGCTCGCCTGCTGCAATTTGTGACTGGAACATCAAAGGTGCTTTATTTGCTTTTTCTAGTTGTGAGATGGTGGTGCTTAATTTAAAGCTTACCTGAAACTCCATTGTCCGATATCTATGTTGATGTTGGATTTATTATATTTCTGATATTTGGATTTTGAAATGCTATTTATCATATGTTGCTAATATGTCGTTGATAGCATTGAGCTGCTATCGATCTCTTACATGCCCAAACCTTGATTCCTTCCACAATGGATCTCATATATTCTGTATTGTTCATTGGATGCAGTAGCATATAATCCTAACTGTTGTTTGTCTACTGAATTCATTGACTATGTGCTATCAATCCTGTGTATGTCTGAATTTTGTCTCTGATAATTGGTCTTCTGCTGTCATAGCTAAATATAGCCCCATGTCTCTCGTTATGAGTGGGCATACCGTGGCCGTTATTATCTTCTTTCATCACATAAAATGGAATCGTCTTCTTCTGTCTTATCCCTTTTTCCCTTTTTGGCTCTTAGGTGCCTTTAGAAGGATTTGGTGCACTTCAAGGAATTTCAGGATCACAAAAATTCCAGATTCACAAGGCATATGGCAGTCCCGATCATTTGCCTTCTGCTCACACATGGTGAGTAAATCGTTTCGAGATTATATATTTTATTTATCTTGATCCTTGAACTTCAATAGTAGTTTCTGCTATAAACTTTAACTACAGCTGTGTGGTAGTTTTGGGGCCTTATTAACTAAAATAACTTACGAGCATTTTGCAAACTCATGCAGTTTCAATCAGTTGGATCTTCCGGATTATCCTTCCAAGGAGCGGTTGGAGGAGAGACTGTTGCTTGCTATCCATGAAGGCAATGAGGGGTTTGGATTCGGTTAAGTGCTGCAAAATATTAGTGAAAATTCGTTGTATAGATAGTGTCGTCTCGAAGGAAGAAATAGGTTCATGACGTCTTTTAGAAGCTGCCTCCTATATATACTGTACAGTGCAACGTTTGTTCCGGCATTTTACCGCCAGTTTTTTCTTTTCGAATTTTGATTCTGATGAATGATAATATCTTAGCAATTTTCATATTTTAAAAGGTGCATTTGTTGCAGAGTTGCATGATTGATTCCATATGATATTGGATATTACACTTTCACAAAATATTATCAAGATAAAGATGGAAGATTAAGCTTGAGAAGTATATTGTTGTGTGATCATGGAACATTTAACCAATTGAGTGGCCTTTACTTAAACTTCTAATTAACCATGAAGCTAGTTTCAACTTACTTACTGCAAAGGAATGTCTAATGCTGGCTTAACTTCTAAGCGCTTGTCTAAGTGATGGTGATTAAGAGTGGAAAAGTGATTCTTTATATGTAAACCTCACAAAATGGCCTGAACTTTTTTGCTATTAAATTGTATAGCATTATTTATCATCGCATATTCGAAACACCAGGTCAACTCCCAAATTGAAGAAAGACCAACGGTTGAACACCGAGCTAAGAGCCTAAGTAGGGGTGAGCATGGTGCGGTTCGGTCAAAAAACCGAACCGAACCGCAAAAAACCGAAAACCGAATTTTTGAAATTTCTGGAC